TTTCCCCACAATTCCAACACTTACATTGTTTTTTTATCTTTCTTATAAGGTTTATTTTTCTTTATATTATTTTTCATTTTATAATATTTCCTTCCAGGTTTTATGTATTTTTTCTTGAAGTTTCTGTAATTTTTAAACTTTCTGTTTTTATATTTTCTTTTATTTCTTTTTTCAGAATTACATCCCCATTTTGTAGGTTTTTCTATATCTTCACAACATATTCTAGTTAATTTTCTTGATTTTTTCAGTAATTGTCTTTGTTGACATATATATGCGAGTCTTTCAAACAAGAATTTTATTCTTGATCCTAATGTTCTAGGTATTCCTATATTTTCTTTAATATATTTTTCAAATTCTATTTTAAAATATATTCCCCGTGAATCTGGTAATTTATTATAATACATATCTTGATATATTTCTTGATTCTCATTACCATAAAATTGAGTATAATAGTATTCCTTGAATTCACAAGTATATTCTTTAATTTTACACATATCACAAATTGTTAAATTAATTAATTTAACTCTTGCATTATCTTTTTCTCGTATTGCTTCTTCTTCATAATTTCTTAACCAATTTTTCTCCTAAAAATTCATATGCAATATATTCTACTAATTTTTCTATTCCTAGTTTATCTGACTTTATTATTTCTGTTTGTACATTTCTTTTTATTAATGATTTTGTATCACTACTAATTCCTTCCCACTAATTTCTAACATTTCCTTCAAAAGATGAAATTAAAAAATCTATTCTCCTTTCAGTATTTTCCCATGTATCATCTTTATTATATAAGAAGAATAATATCATTGAGTCTGCCCAAGTTATTAAGGCTTTCTTAGTATCTATTTTGCAATCTAAGTCTAATTTTGTTCCTCCATGGTTAACAGGTTTATCATAATTATTATTTAATTCAAATCTATTACTATATTTATTTCCTTTGAACGGTTGTTTATCTCTTATTTTATCATAAAATTGTCTATATGATTTATTATACATCGAAGCATAACTTTCATCTGGATCTATTGATTCTTATTTAGAGGTTCCTATGGGATTAGATCTTCTTCCAGTATTCATTAAGATTTGGTATTCATCATCTATACTTTCTAAGTTTAAATTATCAAAATTATCTATAAGTAGATCTAATTCTTCATTCATTTTCTTTGTCTTGATTTTCTTCAATTTTTTGTTTACCTAACATTTTTTCTCTAGATTCCTCTTCTTCTATTATTTTAGGTAATATATTTTTTCTAAACTCATCATCCATGCTTCCTGTTTCTATTATTATATTTTTCCTTTCAATATGTTTTTTCCCTATTCTGGTTATTTCTTTTTCTATAAATTTTTTATCTATTCTATTATTCTTTTCTTAATTTTCTTTTAATTTTCTGACTTCAAGTTTCAATATATTTATATCATTTCTTATTTCTTTTATTTCATTCTTTATTTCTTGTACATCATTTATTAGTGTTCTTATTAAATGTTTTAATTCTTCCATATGTTCACTGGTTGACATTTTCTTTTATTGATTTTTTGATTGACAATAATAAAATATTATATACTCAGCATTTTTACAATCTCTTATCATTTTATCATACTTTTGTTTTATCACTTCAATATTCGTTAGTTCTTTTAATTTTTCATAGTATCTTACTTTTTCTTTATACCTTTCTTGTTTTAATTTTAATATTTGTTTTTCTTGAATTTTAGTTATATCTCCAGGTATTAATAATTCATCTAAAATTTTATTATTTATTAATCTTATTCTTCTTAACTTTCTTTCTAAAATATTTTTAGTTTCTTCCATTATATTTTTATGATGATTCAAATATTTTTCTATGGCATAATTCATTTTCAAATACTTCGATAATTATTTCATATGTACTTCTATCTTTGACAAATCCTACAATTAATTTATGTAATATTTGTTCCTTTATTTCTCTAAGTAAATTCCTAGTTACATATAATGTTATTATTTTTAATTTATTAGGGATAGGGTTGAAAAATATATAACATCATTTTTCTTCAATACATTGATAATAATTATTTATTTTTATGATTTCCAAAAAATTTTTTTTTTTTTCAAATTACTATGAAATATTATTCTTCAAATAATATCTTTTTAATTATTTTCTCTTTTAATTCTAAAGATAGATTTTTAATTACTCTAAAAATTTCTAATACTTCTTTTATGTCTTTACTATATGTTTCAACTATATTATCTTCTTTTATATAGCCTTCGATATTAGAACTATATTTTATCTCATACCTTAGTCTATTTTTATAAGTTTCAATAATTTCTAAAATCATAAACTTTTGGCTCTTTCTTTAATTTAATTTTCAATATCTTTTAGGTAATTTATTTTTATATATTTTCTCATGATCTCTCTGGCTCTGATATCAATGGGATGGATGCTACTATGAGCGAACAAAAATCTAATAATCTAATATTCTAAAAATTCTTTTATTTTTGTTTTAGTTAATCTATTTGTTTTTAAGTGTATATAAAATTTTAAGGTAAGGTTGAAAACTAATTTTTTGTATGCTTGTGGTGATCTATTTTTTATTGGTCTTCTCATAAATTTTTAAGTAATTCTTCAAAGTCTAGTAATGTCTGAGAATTTATAATATCAACATCTGTTATCATATTTATGTCTGTTTTAAAAGGTATATCGTATTTTAAGATATTTTTCTTCCTTCTTTCTAATTTATCTATGATACCTTGTATATCTTTTATGATTATTGACCTTACAATTCCTTTAGCAAAATTTTCTAATAAGTTTTCTTTGAAACACTTTAATATTTCTTGTGATGCATATAATTGTTCTTGATATCCTATCTTATTAATTTCTTTTTCAAACTTAATTTCTTTTTTATTTTTAACAACCTTTTTTATATTATATGGTCCTCTCTTATATTTGAGTTTTTTCATTTTATAATTATTCATTTAATTCTTTCAAATTTTTAGAAAAATTACTTGTTAATTTTTAAGGACTTAGATAGAAGATTTTTATTATGAAATAGGTTGTTTTAATATTTGGTTAAGGGTATTTTAGGTAGTTCCAAATGTTTGGAAAAGTCAAGGGCCATTTTGGAAAATAGCCTCTCTTATTTGGGTCAATTTCATGTATTTCCCGACAAATGGGCAAGTAGAAAGACATATAAATGGGTTTAAATTAGTCCAAAAGCAGCTGCAATTCCACATCAACTTGTATAATATAATTCAATTTTTTCACATTTTTTTCTTATGGGTTTCATGGAAGTTGATGGGAATTGACTGGAGTCTCCTTTAACTTTAGAAAATCTTACCCAAGTTGAAAAGGAGAGGTCATTTTTTATGATAGGTACTTGAAATTTATCCTGTAACACTGTTTCTATAACTATTAACAATTTTTGTTTATGTTAATTAGTGGGTACTTTTATACATGTCTATAAACTCCCTAATCGTCATCTTAAGTGCTTATTTGATAAAATTCAACAAATTTTATCAACTTTTCAATCGATTAAATTTCAATTATAATCATACATTTCATACGATCCACAATTTTTTTTTATAGATTTTCAAGTACAAATTTCATAAACTTTTATCAAAATTAACTATAAAAGGCTTCGTAAAACCACCCCTAAATGTGATTTTACTTGATCCTCACACTCTACAATTATGTAATTGTCAATTAGATGGTCATTTTATATTTTAACAGACCACTTATGTCTAGAAAGGATATGTGAATTTACATTTTGAAATGAAGGTTGCTTAGGTGGCGGCGTTATTGCATTCGTATTCATGTCATCAATGACGGAGATAGTAGTTTCATGGAAAAAAAAGAATTTCTTCTCTTCTAACATCGCCTTTGTATGTTATACATTGTAATCATACAAGAATTTTTTTTAGAAAATGTGGTTAGGTTGGAGAGGTGCATGACAGGTCGCAAGCATAGTTCATTGGTAATGACAGGTCGTAACCAGCATCCCTCAGCATTCTTGAAGCCATTTTGTAGAACTCAGCTGACTGATTTTCTGATGGCAGAGGAAATTCACCTGGAGTAAACCTGCAAGCATGCAAATATTACCCAAAAATTTAATCAGGGAAACTGTAACATTTTCAAACTCCAGACTAAAGGTTTAGCACTTTCATTGCATCATGTTCTAGCAATTCGATTCTTAGCTTTAGCTGATAAATCACTTACAGTGCTCCAAACTTTGTGCCTTGTTCGACTTGCAAATCATAGACAGAAACATGAGTAGGCTGGATTTGAATAGCGAGCTCCAAACTCTCTTCCCACATATCCGGAGTTTGGTGAGGGAGCGAGGAAATGAGGTCCACGCTCCAATTCTCAAGCCCACACGACTTCACAATATCAACAGCCTCGTGAATCTCCTTAACTCCATGAGCTCCTCCACAAGCTTTCATCAGCTCCTCTTGAAAAGCCTGAACACCCAGAGACACTGTTCACACCCAATCCTGATAATTGCTTCATTTTTGCTCCATCAAACGTGCCAGGGTCCATTTCCATTGATATTTAAGCATTAGCACACAACCCAAATTTCGAACTAAGGGTGTCGAGAACTAAAGTAACAAGCTTCGGAGGAACCAACGAAGGCGTGCCACCACCAAAAAACACAGTTTCAAGGGGTGGGTTAGAATCAGAACTTAAATTGGTAGCTTTCATTTCTCTACAGAGAGTTTCAACATAGTTCAATATACGTGGATCCTCGCAATCATTGTTTGCCGTTCTTGTTGAGGACGGAAACGAAGACGAGGAGGATGAGCCAAGAGCAATGATGGGGAAATCGTAGTAGTGGCGACGTTTTCGGCAAAAGGGGAGGTGAATGTAAGCCGATGTAGGGGGGAGTTTATGTACTACTAATAACGAAGACGGATTGGCTTCAGCATACATTGACACATTTTGTCGAACATTTTGTAGACATGCTTGTGTTAGAGCATTATCATCACAAAGCGCGAGAGCTTTCGGTGTATGTTTGTGGTGGGAATGACTATGAATATGGGAGAAAATGCTGATTTCAGAAGCATATTTAGGACTGCAATCTTTCTGACTATCCGCTTGTATTATGCCGATGACACAAAAACATCGTATTACAGAGTACTCTGTTGTGGCTTTATAATTTAAATTATGTTTTAATAAATAAGAACAATATTAAAAAGAAATAATTATGTTTTAATAAATAAAAAAAAAATTAAAAAAAAATAATTAATCCAACAGAGCCCAAAAAAAAAAAAAAAAAACATTTATGTAATCATCACTTGTCCCGGCGAAGTTTGGTCAGGCGCAGGGAGACTGGAGAGAGATTGGATCCCATAGCTATACTATGTGGAGCACCGGCACCGCCCTGTGTTTCTTCCTTGCAAGAAATGGCAGCTTATCCAAGAATTAATTGTTTCAATGGTCATTGTGTCTTTAATTAATTAAAATGACGAGTTTTTATCACTAAATTTAGGTCCATATCTTCTATTACTCACTGAAATTTAAAATATCAAATTTTGATCACTGAACGTTTGAAAATGTTGTACGTTAATCACTAACATAAATATTGAACTTTGAAAAATGTCAAGTTTACAACGAGTAATGTACAATATTATCTTGCGCACCTCACACTTAACAGGATTCCACTCACCATCCCATCTTTTCACATATTCCCCATCTTGTCCCTACGCTTACAAGAAAGTACACCATAAACCCCACATCTTCCTTCCCCACTTAGTTGCGTCCATGGTATGTACGTATATTTCAATTTTTTATTTAAAGATTCAATAAACCCTTTTGGAATTTTTTGGGTTCTTGATTTTGTTGTAGAGGAAGAAATTGAAGTATTCATATTGGTACTTCTCACGTATTAGGAACCTCAGTCGGATTTTATTTTTTATTTATTTATTTTTTATATGTTGTTGATTTTGTTGTGCAGAAAGTGGAAGAGACTTACATTATGATTAAGCCTGATGGAGTTCAACATGGCCTTGTAAGAAACTCAACAAGAATTCATATAGTTAAAATAGTAGTAAAAAAGTTCAGTTCTTGGTAAATTTAGAGTAGAAGTGCATGCTTTGGAATTTTTTCTGTATTTGTAAGTTGGAGAGAGAATTTCAACGTTTGAGAAAAAGATGATCCCCCAGGAACGAATTCACCGGCGAAATAGAATCAACTTGAATTCAAGGCCGAGGCCCCAATTCTTGACTAGAGAGGACACCAGTGGGAGGCTCGTACTATGGGCTATTAGCTCAAAGGTAAAGCGCGCCTCTAATAATTCGGGTTTATGTTTAAAGGCATGAAACTCTTCCTCCCCAAGAATTGGCAGTGTTTTGTTTTCTTTAGTTATTGGGAAGAAGAGCTTAGATAAAATTTTGTGTTTTCAGTAAATGTCGTGTTGGTTTTGTAATGTATGTTTGGGAAGTTTCAAATGGATTCAATGTGTTAATAAGCTGCCAGAAATAAGAAAACACAAAGCAAACTTACATATTTATATGCATTCTTTATATGGTAGGAACATTAGGTCAATCGGCAGTTGAAGGGAAGGGTCAGCAATATAATTAGGCTCTGTGTAGTCCAACAGGAAGATGAATTGTTATAGTAATTATTGTAAAAAGATTACTCAATTTTAACTGATTCCGTGTCATTTACAAGAAACTTTGCTCAATTTGCTCATCTTAATCTAAGAACTCTTTGAGATGACTAAGTTGTTTATACAACCTAGTTGTGTAGTTCAATAATGATTGTAGGAGCACTATAAGGATCTACAACCTAAGCCGTTCTTCCCCAAACTGATTGATTACATTACATCTGGTCCTCTTTTGTGTATGGTATGTTCTCATTAAACCCTATTCTCCATAAGCAAATAATTAAGTCATATTATTTACCTGTTTTCTGAGAAACAAGTGATTATTTTGTTTCGCAAGGCTTGGGAAGGTGTTGGCATTGTTGCTTCCGCTCGTAAAGTGATTGGTGCAACCAATTCACTTCAAGTTGAGCTGGGAACAATCAGAGGAGATCTTGCTATTCAAACTCAAGGTCATACCATTAAGGATTTAATTATATCGATTCAACATTAATCGGAACTTTAAGGTTAATGCTCATGGTTTTACGCTATTACATAGGCAGGAATGTGGTTCATGGAAGTGACAGTGCAGAGAACAACAAGCGTGAATTAGATATATTTTATGCATAAGCAAGTTTTCGGTCAAGATTTCTAGCGTTGTGAATTCTCTTCATTTACATAACCCCTTCCTAAACTTCACTGTTTAAATGGTTTAAATTGATTCAATGTCAAGCTAGTTACATATATTTTGCAAGGGAGGGTCTGTTGAGTAAATACATCTTTAAATTCGAGCACATGCTATTTACCTTTATCCTTCACAAGCTGTGGATGTTACTTTGAGGTCTTAACCATTCTCTATTCATCCGCATCATGCTAACTTGCATTATTAAGGTCTCACAAATCTAGTACTTATTTCTAACTAGCATGTTAAAGTACACGCTACTGCACAGTACATTTAATGTGCTATAACACGAGTCACAAGTGCTTTGAGGTAAGGTAACAAGTAGTTCTCATACATTTCAAATTTCTTGTGTGTTTGTGATGAAATTTTTGTGATTTTTGTGCATACCAAAGGTCAGGTTTCAGTGTGTAGTGTTAATACATATTTATGTTTCTTTTCTTGCCTTGCAGCTCTCTGGTTCAAGGATGAAGAATTATGTGCATGGACACCAGTTCTAGAGCCATGGTCGAGGGAGTGAAATTTGACTTTTTAGACAATCGTGTTCAAAACTCATTTTTGTAATTTAATCTCAATTCTCATGAGAAAGTAAAAAACAAAAAAAGTTAATTTTGTTCCATGCTCGACCAGCCATATTTTGTAGAACTTGTTTGTCAGAAGAGTGACTCGAGATAATTCATTTCATACAACAGTCGGAAGAGAAATGTAACGATAGTTAAATTTTTGCTATGCTCTCAACTTGTCATTTATTAGAGGTACTTGGTAGTTGTGATCTCAAAAAAAGATGAGTAGAGAAAAATTAATCTGTCAAGTGCTTAGCAGCTGGCCATTGCCAGGACTTGGTGAAACACTGGTAGAAGAAAAAGCACTGTCTGCCAACATATCCACCCCATCAAGTGAGCTTACTGAATTTTGTTGAGAGTTGTTGTATCTCGAAAACATGTAGAGAACAAAAAGGTTTTTAGTCTCTTGTTCTTTAGAGGTGTCTGTAGATTCAGAGCTACTAGAAATTGGCAAAGAATCAGTCGAGGAAAAATCGACATCCATAGTCGTTGTGATGAGGACATCGGACGACGTTTACTTATTTTATTTAAGCTTTATTTATTTTCTTGGACTATTATTTAAATTTGGATTTGTATGAGCTCGGGCCCAAACTCATTAGGGTTGCTTTACTATTTAAATATATTTTGCATTGTAATTTTCAGTTGATGATGAATGAATAATTATTTTGGTGGCTTATGGCGCATCCCTCTCCTTCTCCTATTGATTTCTTCTTCCTCCCCCTCCCTTAATTCCCTATTTTTTCTGAATCTTTCTTCTTTTCTATTATTCATCCTATTGGTACTGCATCAAATTTGATATCAGAGCCTAAACTTGGGTAATCTCTCATCTCCAATCCAAAAATCTCTTCTTATTTCTTTCCTAAGAACTTGTGGAACTGCACAAACAACTAAACTTTTAGCATGAGCAGCCAGGTTATTATTTTTCCAGCTTCTTCATAGTTGTTCCAAAAAAAAAAAAAACTGTTCACAGGCAGAAATTTCAGTTTAGATTTTTTTCTACAATTTCAGTTCACACCCCAGCCACGAAAAAAAAGAAAATCGTGTTACTGTTCACGGGTACTATTCACACTCGAAAATTCATTTTTTTTTTGTATTATCAGCTTCAAAAAAAAAAGTTACTATTCACACCAAAAAAAAAAAATAAAAAAAATCTCGTTTTTTCCCTGCTGCTATTGCTCATAAATAAAAAATAATAATTGTGGTGTTGTTCCACAAATCCCAAACCCTAACATTCAAGCCTACTTAGCCCTTTCAACCCATATATTCCATCTCTATAATCTACTTCATTCATTTTTTTATCAAAACACTTGGGTCATAAGCTAGTGGCCCAAATTACTCCCAAAGCCCACTAAACGCACAGCCCATCTCTCATCATCTATTTAGCCAATTCACTTGTTTTTCAGCCCAATAAACACTAAATCCAACCCACTTATCACAATCGGCCCAACACCATTCAACACATAATCAGTCCCAAATATCCAACCAAACCCGATTATAACCAATCCATTAACATCAAATACCCCACAGTTTCACCCGATTTCTCGCTCACAACCACTCTCTTGCCGCTGCCGCCTCTAATCACTATCACGCCACCACTTCATTATCTATTGTACCCAGGCATCCAGAGCACTACCGCTTCATCGCCATAGGCCACCACCACCAACCCAAGATCATACACTTCCACCACAATTACCACACTCATATATTTTCTCGTCCATCTCAACAATCTAAAAGCCATAGTCACTACACACAGTTTTACGTCCACACCAGAACCAGTACAAGTTACAGTCTACAGGGCTAAAACCATTGGATACAAAGGGAAGAACAGAAGCATAGTTGGGGCTCATAAGTCGGCAATTCAGATCAATCGGCATACAAATAATCAAAACTAAATAATAGGGAGTCCTTGATCTCTATTTAGTATTGGTTTATACTACTACTTCATTTTTAAAATTGCATTAATTAAAATCTTGTGCTGCTGCTAATGTGATAATTTTAGCCTTACACCCCACTTGATCGAAATCATTAATCGAATTGACACCAGTGACTGAATTGACTTCCATTGTTCCCCACTTAAATTGATTGGAGAATTTGACTAGTGTGTTTGACCATTGCTTTGCCATTTTACATGTACCAGCAGTATGAGCTTGTTTTTGATTTAATTAATCCCAATATTTAAAATTAAATAATAAAAAAATTGGTAGAAGTTATTTTTCATTGCTTGCACGTATTGTTCATTGATCTCATCATAGCACATCATTTAGCTAGTATTACATTGCATGTAGTTACGTAGTGGTCATCTTGTCGTCTCTATTTCCAATACATTGACCATGGATCCATCCCAATTTGATGCACTCACTAGACAATTAGCGCAACTTTCCACTAGTCTATCGACTATCCAATCAGATATAACTGCTATTCGTGAGGAGAGAAAGACCCTAGCTGCTAAGTTGAGCAATTTTAAGCGAACCCCTCGTTTGACTGACACTAATTTTGAAGCGTCTCATAATAGACAATATCATCGTGGACAAAGTGATCAAGAATATTTTTGACGCGAACGTAGGAATAGGGATCAGGTTCATGAGCGAGAACAAGGCCATGATCATCATGGTACTCATTCTCTTCCTCGTCGTAAGGAGCGTTTCTTTAGAGACATTGACTTAAATATTCCTACTTTCGATGGTTGCTTAGATCATGAAATCTTTACCCAATGAAACACCCTTACACAAGAGAATCGGCTAGTAACTGAGTACATTACTCAATTTGAGGAATTCCGAGTGAAATGTCATGTCGTTGAGGATGAGGCCCTGGCTTTAAGTAGGTTTATACAAGGTCTACGAAATGCACTTAGGCATGAGCTTTTCTTTCGAGGCATCACTACTCTTGATCAAGCTTACTCTTTAGCTCGGGACTACGAGTTACTTATCAGTACTGCATATAAAAAGCGTGATCACCATTGTTCACCCATTTCATTAGCGTCATCTCATCATAAGTCTATCATAGAGCCTTCCCAGTCTAGTGTTCATTCCCTTTGGAAAAACAAGTGTAAAGGTCGTGATAGCCCAAGGTCTTCTTGTTCATGTAGAAAGCGTATTGACAATCATCCTTCGGTTTCATTGGCTCTACTTCCTCCTGTTAAGTCCCTTCTAGGACCTCCCCCGTCTAATGTTCCTCCAATTTTGGAAAATAAGGGTATAATTTGTGAAACTCCAAAGACTTCTCACTTGCTATGCATTAGCTGTAAGGACTTTGGCCACATCTCTTCTAAATGTCCTAACCGAGCCTTAGTCATAGAAGAATGAAAGAATGCAATAGAAGAGTCGTTAGAAGATCTAGCATATGGCCCTAAACTTGAAGATTTTGATGATTATAGTGAGGACACTTCCTTAAGTGGAATCCCGACCCTTCCCGAGACTTTAGAAACTATACCCCTTGTTTCCGACAACTGTCGATCACATGTTATATTTCATACCCTTACCCAACTCAAAAAGTTTGATGATTTCACTAGTCACCCTTGGAGAATCCAGTCGCTTATTCTTAGCACTAAATCGAAATTCTCCACTACTGACCAACCTCAAACTGATGGTCAAAATTAAATTGCTAACCGAAGTCTTGGCAATTTATTACAGTCTCTAGTCCAGAAAAATCTTGAGAATTGGGACTCGATCCCTCCAACTGTTCACATCGCATATAACAATTCTATGAATCGGTCTCTAGGTCTAAATCCATTTGAAATTGTTCATAGTTATAAGTCTAGGCGACCGTTAGATCTTATTTCCATGTCCTTGCATGCTAGTGTGTCGTTGTCAGCTGAAGCATTTGTATATCATCTTCATGACTTGCATATTGAGATCAATAAACAACATGATGTAAGTAATGCATTATATAAACTTCAAGCTGATTCGCATAAACGATATTTTGAATTTAATATTGGGGATTATGTCATATTGCAAGCTTGTAGTGCTGGTCCTTTAAAAATTTTAAAGCATGTTGGTTCAAATGCACATGTCATTGCCTTTTCATCACATTTTGGCTACCACTTTGCTTTAAATATTGCGGACTTCATTACTTACAAACACCGTATTACTTCCTTTGATGATACATTTCTACCTAACTTTGTGGACCCCCAATTTGACTATATTGATATTTCTACTTTAATACCATCTATCACAACACGCAAAGTTAAAATTGATGTTATTTTAGATGAACATGTTGTATTGATCAATAATGGAAAAATTCAGTACTTCATTGTTTGTTGGGTAGATCGACCTACTTCTTATGCTCCTCATTATGTACAATCATGTGAAAATTTTGAAAATGAGGTGCATGAGTATTGGTTATTTGAAATCCAGTATCAGTACTTGGTTAGAAGGAAAGATCGCCCCCCTTGGTCAGATCATATTCTTGGGAATAAGCTACAGTTTTCAGTACTATCAATTATGAAATTTCATTACTTGGTTCGTCAGAAAGATCATCCGCCGTGACTTGACTTGAAGCATTTGGAGTATCAGATTGACTGCAGCCTATACTATCTATCACTCGACATGGTCGAGTTTTTCTCCCACACCGGGAGAGTTGATGAGGACATCGGACGACGTTTACTTATTTTATTTAAGCTTTATTTATTTTCTTGGACTATTATTTAAATTTGGACTTGTATGGGCTCGGGCCCAGGCTCGCTAGGGTTGCTTTACTATTTAAACCTATTTTGCATTGTAATTTTCAGTTGATGATGAATGAATAATTATTTTGGTGGCTTATGGCGCATCCCTCTCATTCTCCTATTGAATTCTTCTTCCTCCCCCTCCCTTAATTCCCTATTCTTTTTGAATCTTTCTTCTTTTCTATTATTCATCCTATTGGTGCTGCATCACGTTGCCTCCTCAATTTCCAGAGTACAATTTACATCTGTCCCTGTCGAATTCCCCTGGGCTATGCTAGGATTGCGAAGAGAACCTTGTTTAAGCTTCAAAAGTGTAGTTTCTGTGCCAATTGGAAACGAGTTAAATGAGTCTTGACCCCTATTTTTTAAAACTCATTTTCAACTGAATATTTTATCAACTTTCGTTACAAATCATGTGAAAGGAATACTACCATCATATTCTTCAAGTATATGCAAAACTGCATAGTATTTGTCTCTGGTATTTGATATTTCTCAATAGGGTCACTCAGAAGAGTAGCCATAAGAAAAAAAAGAGAATCGCTCTTAGTTTAGTTACTAATTCCTGTAATACTAATAACTTTTCAAACATCCAAACGAAAATTGGGAGTAAACTCCTTCTTTAGAACGATATTAATTCAAAAAGGAATAAAAGCGGCATTTCACCAAAAGAAAAGATCAGAGATGCCTTGTTGACAATGGCCAGTTCCTATACAACAAATCAAAGAAAAAAATTTACCATATATCGAAAGAGAATCATCTTTGATCTTTAAATTAGGTCTTTCTAACTCCAACAGTCCTAAGGAACTGATTGATGATGGCCTCACTCTCCCCAGCATTTTCCCACTCTCTATATCTCTCTAGAAAGTGCGACTAAATAGTATGTACGTTGTCAATAGGGCAATTTTCGAATTTCACGTGCCAAAATGGGACGAAAGTGATGAGAGCGGGAAGTAAAATGAAGGGCCGGATCCACATAATAGAACAAATAGGAATGGTAAATTTACACAGATAACACTAATTGGGCCATAATAAGATTCGACATTCTTAGCTCCCGTTTGGCCCCCATTAAAACTCATCAATTTAATTTAAATTTTTCTCTTTCCTATTTTCAACCATACAATCTTCAATAAAATAATATTACACTAAAATAAAGAACTTTTTATTTTTTTACAAACATCCATTTTTAAAATTAAAAAAAAAAACTATTCCCCCATTATAAATCCAAATAATTGGGGCCAAATTGGGGCTTTAAAACTATTTTAGCATTACCTTAAATTTTTTGGTGGTGCTATATGTCCACGGACATGCAGCATTATTGTAAACTTTTTTTTTTCAGCAGTTTTTCCCCAAGTACATAAAAAATATACATTGTGTGGAATTTGTGAAGAGTCTATCTGTATGATTTATGGGAAAAAAATTATGTATATATAGCATTGTTCTTTTTTGAGTGGGCACTAGCAATTAGCAAACAAGGCTTAAATTCCTTTTTTGAAGGGCAGGGTTGGGGTGAGGTGATCCTACTAATGTAGAATGTGACGTCACTGAATTTCATTAACACAATTGTGCATGTTTAGGACTAAAGTACAATTTTAAGAAAATATTATGATTTTCAAGCCAGGTAATGTTTTTTGGGTTGAAATTAAGTGAACAAATACGTATGGTTTTGATTTTGGAATTTTTACACACTGTTAGGAAATTTTCAGGATTTTAGACCACGTCCCAGCCAGTTCAAGTCAATCTCTTTTCAAGATGTCAAATTATGATTTTTAATGTAGAAAAATTCAAGATTTCAAGTGTGTCATTTTTGTGATATGTATTTCTTGAACATGTTGACTCTGTGAATTGGACTCTTCACGTGACCAACTGCGAGCTATTTCACGTATTCCTTTTTGCACACAATAACGAACGGTCAAGCTATACGATTGGTACCAACTATGGTGGTGGGGGTCGCATACACTCCGACAATCAAGTCAGTTGATGGTGATCGCAGTGTCGAAATGCGCGATGCTAAAAAGGGGGAAGGAGAAAATGCTTTTTCTTGGTTATGGAATGCTTACCTTATTCTTGGTCAAGACCCTTGGTATTATAGGCAAAGGGCACAGCCTCGAATATACTGGTATTTGGAAGCTTCGTACGCGCTTCGGCTAGCCGAGGTGGTGCAGAGGTCGTAACAAAACATATGTGTTTTCTCTCATTTTCACATAATGGTCTAAATTGTAACGTGCTAGGATGATGATGTAAACCTATTTTGATCCTTAAATTTTTATAATCTTGTTCTAGTTTCTCCTAACATTTGCTTGATGTTTGATTACTTGTTATTGTATTGATTGTTCTAGTATTAATTAAAAAATGACATTGAGACTGAGAGATTGTTGGACATTGAAGGGGTTGTCAACGTGAGCAAATATATACTGGAGCTTGATTATAGAAATTAAAGAAGACAGTTACGTGGAGTCAAAATATTAATACTTGTTCACTTCAAATTTTCTCTGAATTTAGTCAGTCTTCATGGCTTTAATTTTAGAATTATGCCATTTGTACACTTTTTCTTTACATCATGATTGACATCATCCATGTTGTCAATAATTGATTGGATGAAAAAACTACTTTATTTTCAAATTGTCCAATGGTGTAATGACACATAGCAAAATATAAAAAATGGTTTGAAATATGGTATACGCCAGGCATGGTTCTTAATTTTATTTGTGACATTTTCAAAAAACTCTCTATGTTAAAAGAGGATATTCTATAATTTAGAGAGAATATTTTTAAGCACTCCAATAAACTTTTTATATTTAACAATTAATTTTACTATAAAAAAATATTTAGTATTTTTTCTCTTTTATTTTCATTAGATTTTCTCTAAATTATTGTATTGTTTTTTCATTGAAAAAATGAAATATTTTGATTGCATTTAATTATAGAGAGTGGATTTGGCTCTAATTTGTATAGCCAAACTCACTATCTAAATTCAAATGTTAATTTGAACAGTCTCTTAAAATATAATTTAAGGACCGACTCTTTAAAATAAAGAACATATTGTGTTTAAGTTGTCTCTTGAAAATGCTCTAAAATAATTAGTTTGTTCAAATGATAATAAAATCTCTGTGTCCCCAAAGCACAAATAGGTCAATCATCATAGAATGCGATACTCCTTATGACTTTACAATTGCTTGTTCATGATTTGTGCGATTGCGATATTGTATATAGCTAGCGAACATCGATGATACTTATATTTTTACAAAATAAATAGTACAAGCTCGAGAAGGGAGCGTGACATGACATCTCGTGCAACGATAACAGATACTAGAGGACTTCAAGCTTGAAAGCCCGAAAGCACACGAAAGACTATGGAAAATCCAGAGTTTAAGTTATTTATTCGAGTAATGCTTAACAAACAGGAAAATAAACAAGGAAAAAAAGATTGATATGGCAGTTCATGATTGAGTATTTTTATGTTTTTTTTTCCAATTTTCAATGAGAATCTACCAAGTATAAATTCTGTTATTGACTCTGGCTATGTAGCATGATGGTACTTATTCATGGATTTGAAGCTTGTCCACATCATCTTCAAGCATGTTCACCCATGCTTCTATGCCATCCCCAGTTTTAGTACTCATTAAAAGTACGACATTCTTGAACGGCATAGTTGTGGTGCAGACCCATAATGGCTCTCCCCAGCCATAATTCACCTGGTAAACAGGAAACCTACACCAACTGCTAAAATTGCATAACTCTATTTCTACCTTGGATGACGGATCATTTAATTTTTTGACACGACTCCAGTTCTCTTCATTTTTCTTTTGTTTAATATAATCGCCATCGATTTTTCTTATCGCACCTCCCAACTTTGTTATTAGATCACCATATCCTAGGTTGCTGGGGTCATCAGCTGTGAATAATGTGAACGCGATGCTCCAACAGTTTCCAAAAGCATGTTCTGGAAGAGGTGGGCTTGTTCTTGATCTTAGGTTAACTGCATGGACAGCACCAAACATCTTTTCTTTTTCAGTTTTTCCTTTTGCCATCTCGATGAAATGCCTCCAAATATAAGCTGACACAGCTTCCACCCAAGTGGGATTCTTCACTAATAGTTCGGATCCAACCGCGGCTGCTTCTTTTAACGCAACGAGCTTATCTTTATCAAAGACAAATCTTTTTGTGACAATCTTTTCGCTTGTCATGGTATCGCTTGGTCTGAAATTATAGGTAGAGAAGTCTTTTGGAGGAAAGAGGGCTGCTAAATCAAAGTTGGGCTGCATAATTTTCGATTCTCCACGGCATGTGGCTGCCCATGCTTCGATGAATGTGACCAAGGACGTGCCGTCTGCTATTTTATGTGACAAACATACGCCTATAACGGTGCCACCACAATCAAAGAAATTGATTTGGACGGCTAGAAGAGCAGCCTCAGCATCAACTACACTGGAGGGTTTCACTGGCAAGTACTGCTGCAGTTTCTGCATATGAGGCTCTTCTATAACATCTGAGACGTTAGCATGAACCCTAGTTTCGATGAGTTCAGCGCCAGCGTCGTTACAATCCACGTAAGAATTTTCGTGAATTCTTCCAGCCAAAGGGTAGAATAAAGTTAAAGCGTTGGATAAAGATTGTTTTAGCAATTGAAATTTGTGGGCATGATCAGTATATTTGCTGCCTAATTCACCAGCTTGATAGAAGAAAATAATAGGCATATAAACTGGTGGTGCGATTTGGTCGAGAAATGAAAGTTTGAGAATTTTAAGATGTGGAGAAGTTGGAGATGATGGTTTAATCATATATTTAGAAATTATCTCTACATTGCCTTCCATATTCTGTTTTCTCTGATTCGTAATGTTTTGTTTCTGAAAATAATAGCATGCTTTATATAGGGAACAAGAGGCAGGTCCAAAAGGGTAAATAGCACAAAAGTCCCTATCTTTCAATGTCATTGTGTAAAATGTCACTTTCTTTCATTTTTTGACATTTTCACCTCTATTTCTATCTTTCATTATGCAGAATGTCATTTTCATCCATTTTTCAATAAAAAGACGATTTTACCATCTTATTCTAATAAAACAAAAAGATATGAAATGAAAAGAGAAAAACTAATTACAACAATAATTCCAAATTAGTCACAAATATATAATTAAAAATCAAAACTAAAAAAAAAAAAAGAACAAAATTATTCATCTTCTTGTTCCAAGCCCCTACGTCTTCGGCAAGCCCAGCTACCAATGCTAGTCTATCCCAAATGAAGATCCCAATTCGAATAATTCTACTTCTACAAAGTTGGTGTACAAAAGTGGAGTGTCAAAGTGTGTTGACAAAATTTGGACTCTTGATTTCAAATGATTTAAAAATATGTTTTTAAAATGATTGGTGTAAATTTGATTTTGTAATCTAACTTTTTAAACCCCCTTTGTCATTGTAGCATAGCTCATCCCATTTCTATTGTCACTACAGTCGACCAAAAAGCTTCCTCCCTGACTAGGGCTATGGCCGCGTCTATTCTCATTTGTTTTAGTTGGCTCCTTGGAGAAATCTTGGCCTTTAATTTTAACGATAACGTCTTAGGAGGGGACGGAGAGGAGGAGATGGAGGATGATGAAGTCATAGCGGTGCCGGCGAAGGTGGTAGAGTTAGCACTACTGTTACTGCTATTCATAGTGATGGGCTTTTGATGAAGAAGCAGATTTTAGAGTTCTTCTTTTTGGCGGTGGATTGGGGAGATTTGAAGAATTTTTTTTAGCTTTTCCATGTTAAAAATGATGGTTATCAATCTATATAAACTCTAGTGAATTCACCAAAAAATGGGGGGATGTTGAAAATAGGGTTTGCGTATATATTATAATTATTAGAAGAGATTGATGAGTTGTCGAGCAAGAGGATTAAAGAAAGAGCCCAGAAATGCCTGCATTGGGTTTGGTGAAAATGAGTGTGAAGACTGTAAGCTTTGGGTTGAAAAGCAAGGAAACAAGACAGAGACAACTTTATCGTTGCATAGATACAGATTTGCAGGCAAATGGATGCTGTTCTTTGATGTGGATGATTTCAATTTCCACGCAATCCCTTGATATTATAAATAATCCATTGTTTAATGTCTGAAGTTAATTTGGAAATGATTGATTGTGTTCTTGTTTGTTGATAAAGAATTTGGAAGAGAATGAAGAGGGATTTTTGCTACGTACAAGGAAGAAGATGAATTTAATTATATATATTTGTGATTAACTTATCAGTTTTTTAAAAATTTAGGACTATTGTTGCAATTAGTTATTTTTCCTTTCATTTCATTTCATTTCATTTTGTTTTATTTGAATATGAGGGTAAAATTGTCTTTTTATTGGAAAATTGATGAAAATGACATTTTACACAATAAAAGGTGGAAATAGGGGTGAAAACGCTAAAAAATGAAATGCAAGGACGTTTTGTACAATAACATTAAAATGTATGAATGTTTTGTACTATTTATCCGATATGAAAACTATGATTTTATGCTCTAATAGAGAATCACATCAACATAATAATTCAAAAGAAAAAGGAAAAAAAATATACATGTCTATTATGCATTAAAAAAAATAGAACACTTAAATTCTTATTTTTAACTTAATCTTTCATTAGTTAACAGTTACCACATATTGTCCTTGATTACGATTCTTGTTTTTATACTCTTCCAACGGACTTTGTGGACAGAATTTGTCATTGGAGACGTGATGTGCTAATTAATATAATGCAAAAAATAAAAATGTGTCAAGGGGAAAAAAAATAAAAAGAAAAGAAAAATTAAAAATTTTATTGCTTTCCTTTTATATTTCTCTTCGTTCTCTTTCTCTCTCCTTTAA